GGTAAAACGGTAATTTAACCCAACTTGAGTTACGAGCACTCGTGAAGGATTGACTTGTCATTTATGGTCGTATATCCATGGACACGAAAATATTCTGCAGTGAGAAGAGTGCAACTGCGGGTTTTTAGTGGAGTGACCCGTAGTTAACGAATGTTGATTAACTCGGTCAATGAGTTTGACCAATTAATCTCGTACCGTTGGAGCTTCGGATCTGTAGGTCTATTAGGTCCCCTTGCTAGCTCATAACGRGTAAAACGAGGATCAAGTTTTTGGAAGAATTTGAACTGTTTAAAATAATGTGCATAAGATGTACATTAGAACCATAGGTTATAAGAGAGAATATGGTTTAATTAAATATTAGATATTTAATTAAATGTTAAATAATTATTTGTTAATTATTTAATATTACATTTATTTAATTAATTATTAGTATTAATTAATTATTAGTATTAATTAATTATTAATTTGATTAATAATTATTTAATATATTATATTTTAATTAATTAATATTTATCAATTAATATTATTAATTATTAATTTTGATTAATAATTAATTATTAAACTCCCCTGCAAATTTGCAGGAGAGTGGGGAGTTAGTATGACGTGGGGAGTTATCCCACGTCATTTTTCTTCTTTTCTTTTTGGATTGCAGAATAGTTCTGCAATGGTTACAGAACAGAAAAAGAAGAGAACTCTCATCTCTCTCAAGCTCTCTCAACACTCCCTCTCATTCCAAACAAGGTGCTCCCACAAGCACGGTCTGTAGACCCAAGAGGATAGCGAGGAAGACTCGGTGGTGGTGTTCGACGGGAATTCGTTGAAGAAAAGTTCTTCAAACGTATGGTTTTACCCTGTGTTTTTCTTCTTTGCATATTGATTTTGTTTCCCAAATATCACGAACAACAGTCTGCTTCCGCTCCGGGATTCACATCTCTTCAATTGGTCTCAAAGACAGGTTGATGTTCTGATTTTTCGGGAGCAAAATCGGTGTTTTTGGTGGGTGTTTTCATATTTTCGAAATATGGGTTTGCAGGTTGGAAAATTTCCAGTTTTTGGCATTTAGATAGCGTTTTTCTTCTTGATTTGATCATGTAGGGGCCCGGTGTTTTGGGCATATTGTTTCTGTATTGAGTCTGTAAGTCCGGGTCGCTCAAAAGTTGTTCGTGGCGTCGGATTTAGGGAAAAATTGCAGAAAACAGCGAAGAAGATGAAGCATAYTGCGCAAACAGTGCCGTGGCGCTGCAGCGACAGGACACAGCGCCATGGCACCATGTCTGGGCGCCGCGGCGCTGCCCTTAGGCGCCAAGGCGCTGTTCCGAGTGTTTTTCGGCGCGTTTCCGTGGTTCCAGTTCGCGGTTCGAGGGCGGCAGTCGTTTTCTCTTTTTTGTTTATTTTGCTTTCTTAGGATGCTAAAAACTGTTCCAACTTTGCTATTTATTTATTTTATGCATTATGAATGTATATTTTAATTAAAATCATATTGCATATTATATGTCATATAGTTTTAAAGAAGGCTAGGGACTCCTCTTCCAGCTCGGAGGGGCTATTGATCGGTTTCTCTGAAGGCTTTGGGGGAGAGACATAAGGCTGGATCTCCGTGCATACAGGCAGGTCGGCCCCAGTGGGGAAGGGAGACTCGTAGGCGTGCACCCTGCCGCTGGGAGAGGCGGCAGTTGGGTGTGTTGCCCTAAATTCGTAGTTTGTATTTTGTAAAAACAAATGTCTATTTAATAAAGTTTTATTCAATAAATTTGTTGTTGAATCATAGCTTCGCATTGTACAAAATCTAATAAACTAAACATCCAAGGTTATTTATGATGTAATCGGGACAGTATATATAYTGGGTATATAGTTGATATACGGGGGATATATTTGATATACCCCTGATATATGAATGGATAATGTCCCGTGAATAACCTAAAGGGTCTATAGTATATGGATAAGGCTGGGTACCTTATCCTGGCAACACTATGGATAACGCCCACTCTGTAAAGGTTACAGACGACTCGATCCAGGTCGTTCGTGTGGAGACATGCGAGTGGGGGTATCCTATACAATGAGTTTGTATCAGACTGGACCACGAAATAGGCAATCTTTAGATGTAACACCGTTAACTAATAGGTTGCTATTTTTTAGGATGACCAGRCAACTCATTCTCTATCCTAAGTGAGTTATGGACTCCTGCCCGTGAGGGCTCGTCCTTTGATCTGTATGGGTGAGAGTGGCCCGAGTCGCCGACTCAACATTTCTATCATTTTGGGGACGAGACCGAGTGGGGAGCTGGGAACATAACTTCACAAGATGGAATTCACTCCTCCCTGACTTTTGGGGAGTAGATGAGTGTTCCCTTAAATGCCGACTCCGGGATTTGAACAAGGGGCCCCACCTTCTCAATGGCCGAGAGGGACTTCCGGTTATTGGTTTGACCATAACCGGGTTGTTCATTAGAGGAGCAGTGGTGTTTAAGGAGTAAGATGTAACTCAGGGGTAAAACGGTAATTTGACCTAACTTGAGTTACGAACACTCGTAAAGGATTGACTCGTCATTAATGGTCGTATATCCATGGACATGAAAACATTCTGCAGTGAGAAGAGTGCAACTGCGGGTCTTTAGTGGAATGACCCGTAGTTAACGAATCTAGATTAACTCGGTCAACGAGTTTGACCGATTAATCTTGCATCGTTGGAGCTTCGGATCTGTAGGTCCATTAGGTCCCCTTGCTAGCTCATAACGGGTAAAACGAGGATCAAGTTTTTGGAAGAATTTGAATTGTTCAAATTACTTAAGG